ACATCAATGTGTGGTTTCTGGGGGCCGTGGCCTGCAACCCAGACATGTGCCCTGACTGGGAATCGAACCTGCGATGCTTTGGTTTTCAGCCCACACTCAGTCCACTGAGTTATGCCAGCCAGGGAGGATAAGTCTTAAATACATTCTATGCGCAGGTATTCTAGCTAATTGTAGTCAAGAGATAACCTGTATGCCACGTGAATGTGGAAGGCTAGTTATGTTATTATTATTATTAGGGTTTATGTATGTATTTAAAAAGAATTCACCTAGAGATAAAGGTCTCTTCTTGTTCATTTACTATAGAAATGTGTATTCTTCTTTTTCTTATTTTTTTCAGATTCTTTAAATCTTTCAACCACAGCTGTCATTCAGTATTATTTTATATTTTGTTCAGGTGTACAGCACAGTGGCTAGACATGTACATAATTTACGAGGTGGTCCCCCATAAGTCTAGTGTCCACCCAGCAGCAGACATGGTTATTACAATACTATTGGCTGTATTCCCTATGCTGTCCTTTGCATCCCCATGACTGCTGTGTAACTACCAATGTGTACGTCTTCATCCCTTCACCCTTTTCACCCAGTCTCCCAACCTTTCTGGCAACCTCTGTATCTATCAGTATGTTTGTTGTGTTTGTTCTTTAGATTCCACACCTAAGTGGAACCCTATGGTATTTGTCCTTCTCTGACTGACTTATTTCACTCAGCAGAATACCCTCTGGGTCCCTCCATGCGTCACCAATGGTCAGATTTCATTCTTTCTTTACGGTCGAGTAACATTCCGTTGCATAGGTGTGCCTCACCTTTATCCCACCGTCTGGTGTGGTGATAGGGAGCGAGCTTTGGACCAGACAGACAAGGCTCCCGCCCTCATGGAATGCACATCACGGGAGATGGATGACGGTGTGACCGGGAATGGCGACATCTCATGGGCTTTGGCAAATCGTGAGGAAGGAAAATAATAGCACAGATTCTGGGAACAGAATCAGGGCCTAAACAAGATCTTAAAAAGATAGTTATCAGACTTGAATGAGATGACCTTGAATGAGTTCAGGGTTAAGTGTTGCCTCTGCGTTTCAATGGCAGTGACCACAGAGCAGGGGCTGTGACTCAGGCGTGGTTCATGTGAGGAGACTCCAGCCTTAGCCTGATAGAAAGTCACATGGACAGTTGGAAACGTCTGCCGCGTCTCCCCGACCCCACCCGTAACTGAGATACGGAATGTGAAGGTGAATGTTTGCACGGTTGTGGTCTTGGGTTTCCCAAGCTCAAATAACTGAAAAAAACTGTCTGTACTCATGGTTATATATTTCTAATAGTAGAATGACAGGAATATAGAGGAGAGGACATACAGCGGAGTCCAGGAGAAAGCAGGAGCAAGCTTTCTGCTGTTCTCTCCCAGCGCAGCCACAGGGTGACGCTTAGTTCCCCCAGCAACACGTGACAAAGTGCTGCCACCAGGGAGGCTTCCCGGAGCCTCGATGTCCAGGGTTGTCATTGGGGGTCAGTCACAGAGGCACAGAGTGCCCACATGACTGACCTTAGTTACTCCGACTCTAGCCTCCCCAGAGGTCAAGCCCATACGGCATGGCCCGACACCCCAGCTAAACAAAACCACATTTCTCAAGCAGGCTACTCCACAGGCTTACTGCTTGTGTCCCAGGGACCCCCAGGGCCAGTCCTTTTTCTTTTAGGAGTGCTCAGGGTTTGAACACTGCAAGTCTGGCTAACCAACCCTTTATTACATGTTGTTTAGTTCAAGAACATGAAAATATCAAGGAACCAGAGACATCTTTCCGTCCCATCCCCCTTAGCATTCCTGCGGTGTGTCCACTCGTGGTTGTAAGTGGCTAAAGCAATTTCAAGCATCATATGGAGACACAATAGCTATAACTTCTGGGGAAGATAGTGTCTCCTTTTATTTAAAAAAACAAAAACAAAAAACTCCAACTATTCCTGATGACCCAGGGAAAACTCCCCTTCGGCCTTCATTGACCAGGAGTGAGTGATAGGCCCATGTCTGAGCCATCAGTGGCTACAATTGCTCGAGTTGGAAGGGGCTGATCATGCCCCAGCCCCACGGGCTGAGGGAAGTATCATCTCTGCAGGTGGCATCGAAGGGTAAATCCCTGAACACAGTTAAGGCTCTTCCAGTTAGTTAAAGAGGAGCAGTCACTGGGGTCCGAGAATATTTGTCGCAATCAATCCCTGCTGTCCCAAGGAGTCAACGTGGAATTGATAAAAGGCCATGAGAATATTAATCTCAAGTATAATTAAACACTACTTTACATACCACTTCATATATATATATTCCTAAGGTAACACCTGCTATGTTGTTTCCGATTATTTCTTCATGAACTTGTCTCAGTGGTTTGAGCTCATCAAGGATAGGGATAAGTCACATTCATTTATTTCTTTGTCTGACATTGAACATACAGTAACATTCCATAGATCTTCGATGAGAACAAAGATGAATGGAGTAGTACAAACAATAAATAGTGACATTCTGGCAGCTGGTGAATTCTTCATAATTCACTTCATAATAACAGTTTAAGATAGGAGCCAAATGTTGAATCCACGTTGATACAAATTAAACTTTACATCCTCTTCCAACAGTGGGTACTTTGAAAATGAAATTGCTATATCATGGGAACTAACTGGTTTCCAGTGGTGATAATGTACCTCCTCCTGTCCCTTACAAAAATATTAACAAAGACATAATGCTTAAAGTGCCTCTTATTCGATTTTTATTTTATAGTGACCCTTTAAGAAATCAGAACAGATAATACTCATTTCCATAGTACAGATAAAGCGAGGCTGGGAGCACTTAAGGAACTTCATCAAAGTCACATAACTGATTCAAGTGGTGGCTCTGGAAACATAACCAACCCGACTCCAGAGTTCCTGCTCTGAACCATGTACCTCACAGCATCCATCCCCTTCCCCAAGCCAGCAGGGCACGCTTCCTGAAATCTTGCAAGGCTCACCTCTGGTCTTCATAGAGAAGTATTTAGAGAATCTTTCAAAGATTCCCTCCACTTAACCGTCAGATCAGCTCACACTGTTATTCCATCCGGCATACAGCATCACTTTGCACTCAAAGCCCCGGTTTCCAGCGCCCAGGTGTGCTTATCGGTTTGTGCCCAGACCTGTTCATACTGGTTTTCTTCACTGTTGTAGGTGGTTAACTTAACTAAAATTGCTTAAAATGATGAAGGGTGAGTGTGAAAAGAGAGAAGAAAATTAAGCTTTAAAGTCATGGAAACTAAGCTTTAAAAAATTAAACGAGACTGGTAAGTATGAGTTGCCCCCAAACAGTACTGTTAATTTAGATGCAGCCAAAAGAGTAGTTGAACCTGGGGAAGGAGGAGAAGGAAACATAAGGGACAAGACAGAGTGTATATTCAAGTTGCTTTGTAAATGCATGTTCTAGCTCCGCATTAAATAAAGCAAAAATCAAAATCACAGATGATATAGTATGGATGTGGTCCACACAAAAATAAATAAAAAACACCTATAAATTCATTTACAGAGGAGAGCTTGGCACTATGTCAAAAAACTGGCACAAGTTTCTATAGTTTTTATTTAAGATTTAAGATAATTTTCAGTTATTTTTGTAACATCTTTAAAACAAATAGCCATTACTAATTCCAATAACTGGTGGTAAAGCTACTTCTATTTCAGAGTGGTTGCATTTCAATTCTAAAGACATTTGCATTTTGCTCAGAATTTCCAGAGACAGAAAAGCAAGGAACTTGTCACAGAATTTCAGTCCTAGGAAAAAGCAATGAGAACATTTCAGGATTTGGAGTTTTGTGTCACACTGAAGCACTTAAAGAGAAGTGGTCATCCCTTACAGGTGGCCAGCGCTGGCTGATGGGGTCGCAGGAAATTCCTGTGTTCTTATGCAGAGTTGTGATCAGCACAGTGGGTCCTGGCACCCAGAGGTTGGGAGTAGGGTTTTTTCCCCGTTTTTCTTCTGGATTAAATCTTTTTAACAGAAAATAACACCATCCAGTAAGGCATCAAAATGCCAATTATTAAAATATACACAAATATAATATTCCTAAATAGATACACTTTCAAGAACTACTGCACAGGTATTGATCAACTGTTGCTCACAGGTTAGTAGAAATTAACTGACGTTGAAATAAATAATAATGGACTTTAACGGCAAACTTTAAACACAATTCTTTCGTTACTTCCTTGGGGAATCCAAGTATATCCAAGTTAAATCCAAGTATACCCCTCTTTTCATAGATTCTATCATTTAAACAAATTATGCATCAATTAGTAGAGCTATGTGAAATTATTTTCCCCCAAATTTGCAGTGGTCATGAGCGATGCCCGTATCATTTAAAAAACAAGTGTATATCATCAAAATTCACACTGAAGCAGTACTTTTCTTCCTTTCTTTCTTCCTTTCAGATTTTATTTCTAGAGACAGGGTAAAGGAAAGAGGCAAGGGAGAGAAACACCAGTTATGGTTGCCTCTTGCGCGCCCCCTACCAGGGACCTGGCTCGCAACGCAGTAATGTGCCCGGACTGGGAATCAAACCGGGGACCCTTCGGTTTGGAGGACAGTGCTCAATCCACTGAGCCACACCAGCCAGGGTTGGGACAGTGCTTTCAACCCCAAGAACTAAAACAGAAAAGAAATGACGTGCCTCACACAAGAAGTCATACACCAATGAAACCGGGAAAGTTAGCCAAGAGCTAAAAGTTTCTGCGCTAAAGATCTCAAATGACATCTGGCGAGAAGCCAGCAGGTTCTTGTTTTAAAAGTTTCGTTCCCACCAGCCAACCCGCGGAACACCGATTGGCGCCGGAGTTCAGACTCTCAGTTCCAGGCTCCACCCCAAAAGCCACTAAGTTGCAGAAGCGATTTGATTGGCTAACACAGGGATGACGCAGATTTCTCTAGCCCACTGAGAGCTGGCCTTCCGAAGATTGGCTGCCATCCCGCTTTCCGATTGGTCTTTCCCGCGGGCCAGCCGGAAGAATTGAGGAAACCGACCTCCGGCCCGGGACCGCGGGCCAAGATGGCGACGTCCAGGTGGTGGCGGCGGCTGGTGCTCCGAGCTCCAGGACGGTCACTGCACGGCGCGGGCGCGACCGCATCCGCGACCGCTGTCGGGGCTCCAGATGTCAGCGTTGCAGATGTCGCGGCAGCCCCTGTCGCGCGCTACCCGCCGATCGTGGCCTCCCTGACTGCCAAAAGCAAGGCGGCACGCCAGCGGCGAGTGGAGCGGTGGCAGGCGACTGTGCACGCGGCCCAGTCCGCGGAGGAGAAGATACGAATCCTCACCAAGATGCAGTTCATGAAGTACGTGGTTTACCCGCAGACCTTCGCGCTGAACGCCGACCGCTGGTACCAGGGCTTCACCAAGACCGTGTACCTGTCGGGCCTGCCGCCGCCGGCCGCCCCGCCCGCGCAGGTCCTGGACCTGGCGACTCTGCGCGCCGCCGCGTGCGACTGCCTCCTGCAGGAGCACTTCTACCTGCGGCGCAAGGGGCCCGCGCCCCTCTACCGGGAGCGGGAGGCCCTCGCCTCGCCCTTCCTGGACCAGCTGGTGACCACCCTCGTGGGCCTGCTCAGCGCGCACAACCCGGTCCTGGCCGACGCCGCCCTCGGTGAGCTCCCGGCTGGCCGCGCGTGGCGGGGCAGGGCACGTGTGGGTGGCAGGGACCCCCTGCATCTCTGGCGTGCCCCCTCTTCATTTCGTTGTCAGTTTTTTCCTTAGTGCTGGGACTTCTCGCAGGGAGTGCGGAGACTGGGTCCTGCCACCTAACTGTCCAGCCCTAGGCTAGGAGCTCCGGGTCTGCAGGACTCCAGCCCTTGGTGCTGGTGCTGGTCCCGCAGAACGCAGAGCAGCGTTGGTTCAGACGTGGGTCTCCTAGAGAGAGGGAGAGACCTGGGCTGCCTTTTGGCTCTTCCACCAAGATTTACGTTGCCATATGTCAATGTATGAACTTCTTTTAGACTAATCTTTTTCACTGTCAAGATGAGAATTACAGGAGGAGTACTTTGAATTGTGAACATTAAAGGCGGCGACATTGATTAAAACACCTTAACGCTTATTCAGTGCCTACTATGTGCTTGGCCCTGTTCTAAATTTTATATGTGCCAACTAATTAATCCTCACAAAAACTTTATAGTAGGTAGCATTGTTTTGCAAAAGAAAAACAAAACAAAACTTGAGGCCCAGAAACATAAGATATACTTACTCAGAAGAGCCTATAGCTAGTGGATTCGGCTGTCAGGATGCCAGCCCAGCCATTCAGGGTTACCGGTCAACAGTCAGCAACGTCTGTTCAGTGCAGACATGAAGAATAACTAACGGACAGACAGCTTTAAAAATCAGTGCTTCTGACCTGTTCACCAATTTATGTCTTCCACCCAGTAGCCATGTGAGTGTCTATTGAACGTTGTTATCGCAGGAGATGCGTGCTCCTCTGAGTCTGGTGGTGTGCTTGTACTTCCCTCTGGTCGAAAAGCAGTCTCGAGGGAAGCATCTTGGGCTTTGACCTCTGATTGATGGCCTAGGAAACTTAACCTTCTCAAGACTCAGTTTCCTCCTCTGTAAAATCGGGGTGATGACAACTGTACATGCCTTTCACAGTTGTTGTGAAGATTTAGTCAGTCATTCATAGGGCAGTTCTGACTCCTACTGAACTTCTTATTTCTGGTGTGTGATATTCCTGTTGTAACTGAGGAAAGGCTTTGGTTACAGTGTTTAGTGCAAGGTGACACAAGTGGACAGTAAATATTTAAGTCATGATCACGTAAGTTAAATCGTCACATAACCCACACTATCTTACATTGGAGAGTACTTTTGACATAGTTTTAATTAGCACAATCATTTTGAGTTCTGTATAGCTGAGTTTAGTGTTCTAATAACCAAATTAATCTAAGTGATAACATTTTGAATGTCTTTTGATAGATTGTAAACGTCCAGTGCACTTCTACTGGTGGCGCGGTGAAGAAATTATTCGTCATGGTCATCGGAAAGGTCACGTTGATGCCTTGAGATACCAAATAAACGATACCCCTCACAACCAGATTCGAATGTCCAGACAGCTCCCAGAGGTAAGGATTTATTGCGTGTGTGCCTCTGGCTGTCTGATGGGGAAGTGTCATGAGCAGGCTAGGTAAAAGACTGGGCAAAATAAATTTTTTTTAATATTTTATTTATTTTTAGAGAGGGAAGGGAGGGAGATAGAGAGCGAGAGAGAGAAACATCAATGTGTGGTTGCTAAACCACACATTGGGGTTATGGCCTGCAACCCAGGAATGTACCCTGGCTGGGAATCGAACCTGGGACACTTTGATTCCCAGCCCGCGCTCAATCCACTGAGCTACGCCAGCCAGGGCTGCAAAATAAAAATTTTTGAATGGAGTACTTGCCTTTTGAGCTTCATTCAAGTACATTTTGTCTGAAATTCTTCTTTAGCTTTTTAACCTGCATGGTATAAGAGTTCCCCAAAGGTCAAATAATCATTTTAAGTGAAGTTAAGGCATCAGTTTTCAGGAACATACAAATTTTTTTTTGTTGATATTAAAAATAGAAAGAGCTGATAAAAGTTTAGCACTATATTGTAATTTATAGTACCTCTACCACCTAGTCATAAATTAAGGCATTTATTAGAAGTATAGGCTGGTTCTTTTATGTATTTACAGTTCCTTTGGCGGAAACAAGTATATTTTAGGGTTGCCTGTGTGTCCGTGTCAGGCTGGCTCATTTTTTTTTCTGTAAAAATTCAGATAGCAGGTGCCTGAGGCTTTGGGGGCTGTAACTCAGTTGCAGTTACTCATCTCAGTTCTTATAGCCAGGCACCATATGTAAATGAATGTGCGTGGTTGTATTCTGATAAAACTTTATTTGTGAAAACTGGTTGCCGGCTGGACTGCGCCCATCGTTACATGGTAGTGTTATCATTTTACAAAGACATCTCAATTTAAGATTTTTAAATCTATTAAGAATGTGAGTAAAATAATATGCTGGTGGTGTTGTTAATTCACGTACTCCTTTTTCTTTAAGTTTGTGCCACTGGATTATTCTGTACCTATAGAAATCCCTGTTATGAATTGTAAGCCAGACAAACTCCCATTGTTCAAACGACAATATGAAAATACCATATTTATTGGTAAGTTTCTCTTTGATGTATTGTACCATACGTGTGTCTCAGGTGCCTTGTGTACATTTGCATAATTAGTTCCTCGTGACCAAAGGTTTACATAGTGCATGAGCAATATATCAGTCATAGTCTGAGATAGTGGCAATGTGCCTGAAAATTGGGAAAAGAATATTCTTTCAGCTTACCATTTAAAATTTTGGTTCTACTTGGTTCTACTGGATTAGCAGTATTTACCTTTAAAAAATAGTTATACTTGTTAAACTTTGTTGATATTACTATGTAGAAAAAGTACAATAATTTGTGGTTTGTTAAAAAGCACAGAACTGGACTTGAGACGCAGTGATTGGCTTTTTTTAGGAAAGTCTCCGGTTTGTTGCGAATGGTATGGTGGCCCTCAGGAGTGTAAACTTTAGCAAGGCCTGGCGTCCGCCCTCACGCAGCGTGTTCTTTTGCTGGTTTTCCTTCCCCTGTCAATTCCTGCTGACTCGTGGGACACTCGTGGGAGCTCACAGGAGTCCTCAGGCCTGTTCCGTCGGCCCCTTCTCAGTCACCGTGGCCTTGGAGAGGGAATTATGGGGGACTTTTGACTTGGCCAGTAAAGTCAAGCATGTCAGCATTTTATTAAACATTGGCCCTTATTTTCTTTACTCATACAGCCCTGGTCAGTGGCCTGGTTGGGTGGGCATCACCCTGCAAACAGAAAAGGCTGTGAGTGTGGTCCCGGTCAGGGCACGTGCTGGGCCGCAGGTTCAGTCCCTGGCCAGGGCGCGTACGAAAGGCAGCCCGTCAGTGTTTCCTTTCCTCTTGTTCTCCCTGCCTTCCCTTCTCTCTGAAAATCAGTAGACAGGTCCTTGGATGAGGATTAAAAAAAAAAACAAAGAAATAAATATAGTAGAAAAATCCGTTAATTTTTTTTAATTGGAAAGAAGTTGTATAATTATTGAAATAACTAAAGTAAGTTTTTAAAGTCATGAAATGTTGTATCCTTTGGAGAATATGACAAGGGCAATAACCAAGCTCCTTATGACGGCTGATGGGTTTGAAAAAACTGAAACAAGGGATTTTAAGTCTATTTTACATACACCCTTTTTGACTTACCCTGTGTCACAGTGAACGGCATGATGACAGCTCACACTGTGCTTCCGTGTGAAATGTAACTTTACTCTGATCAGGACAGTCAGTGAGTAAAGTAGCCTTCCCATGGGCGTGCTGTGACAGCTGACGCCCCGATGCGCAGAGGGGCGAGGGGGTCTGGAACGGATGCGGAGGACAGGTGCCCCAGGTGACCCGCGTGGCGTTGCAGATGAACTGTCTTTGTTTTGCTCTTCAGGGTCAAAGACGGCAGACCCATACTGTTACGGTCACACGCAGTTTCACCTGTTGCCCGACAAGTTGAAACGGGAAAGGCTCTTGAGGCAGAACTGTGCTGATCAGATCGAAGCGGTGTTTCGAGCTAACGCCATTGCAAGCCTTTTTGCTTGGACCGGAGCCCAGGCTGTGTATCAAGGTAAAGCTGTGGTGCTGTTATTCTTGGAAGGTATCAGACATGTAAGAAATTGGGCATCATTTCCTTGGTTAAAATGTGGGTTGGATCTTAATATTTTGAAAACTTGCATTAGCACAAAATATGGTTGTTTTAAAATCCATGAGTAAGTATTTTACATTGGCAGTTGGCAAGTAGCACTTAGGTGGTCATTTGATCTTTTACGTTGACCACTTCTGTGGGAATGCACTTTTTTCTGATGGTGTTCTCAAGCATGTCAAAGACTATAGCCAACTAGATCAGCTCTGTAGACGATAGCAGCTTTCTGAAGCTGGAGAAGGAAATGCTTTGGTGGGTTAAATGGTAGATTAAATCACAGCTCTTTATAATTTCCTTGACTGCCATTCCTAGGATGTGGGTTAGGAGATTATTCATTCATTCAGCAAACACTGGGTGTTTGTTAGGTACCAAGGGCTGTTGGCCTTGGAGATGAGGTGCTGAACAAGATAAGCAGATCTCACTCTTCTGGAGCTTCTAGTCGAGCGAGAAGAGTAGGGGATAAGAAGCAGGTAATGTTTATAGGTGATAACCGTGGAGAAAATTACTACAAAAGGGGTCGAATGGTTTATGGGATACAGGTGGAGGTGAGATGGGGGGCAGAATCTATGTGAACATAGTGCAGAAGAGGTCTCTGGAAAAGTGACACTTCAGCGGACCCCTGCCTGGTGATGGGCTGCCGCCTCAGCGTGAACCTGGGGAAGGCACTCCGGAAACAAGGGGTGGCCACTCAGCCGCTGAGGCCGGAATAGGCTTGCAGTCTTGAAGGACCAGCAAGGCTAATGAACGAAGGGAGGAAGCCGCAGGCCATGTCTCAGGACTTTTAGAGCCCATTGTGGGGCGGTTGGGTTTTGTTACAAAACCTGAAGTGATACAGTATGTCGCTAGTTTGATCCCATATACGTACCCAGGAGGAATTTTAATACAGATTGATTGATTGCTGAGCTTACCTTTTTCCTTTATGGATATGCTTTAACCTTATACTCAGAGTTGTGTTGACTTACATTCTACAATAGGAATAAGTGAGAAATTTTTTTTGAAGATCTTAAATGACACTGTATTCACGAAAGATAGAGTACTCTTTGCAGTATTCCATAATATTCCGTGTTTTAAGAATATAATCTACTGATGCATTGAGGCTGATATAAAATAAGTGTGGGGAAGTAAAGTGACTGCCTCACCCTGGTGGGAGGGTTTCAAGTACAAAGTAAAGCCAGTCAGCCTGGCTAGGAGCGGCTGGAAAACCTGAGTGGTCGAGGGAAGGCAGCCTGGAACTTTACCACGCAAGACTCGCTAAGTGAAATGACAGCAACTCTTAAAACCCATTTTGAAATATCGCTGACACCAAATGTAGGGGGGTCTGCCTGGTGCCGCTTGCTGCTCTCACGCGGAGTGAGTTCAGGGAGAAAGCTGTTGACGGCAGACGTTGCTGGAAAGACGTATCGAGAGTTGGGGATACTGGAGGGGAATAAGTTTTGATACAGAAATGGAGTACAGGGTTAGAATGGATAGGGAAAACTTTGTGATCTTTAGGCAGTTGGTAGGTAGAATATCTAGGTTTTCGCAGTACTCACCACCCTCTAATGTGTGCGTTTTGTTTTGGTAAAATGTAGTCCAGCGTAAATTTCAGCGTCACTTTCCTCTGTAGGATTCTGGAGCGAAGCGGATGTCACCCGACCTTTTGTGTCTCAGGGCGTGATCACAGATGGGAAATACTTTTCCTTCTTCTGCTACCAGCTAAACACTCTGGCGCTGACCGCACAAGCTGACCGAGATAACACTCGTAAAAATATATGTTGGGGGACACAAAGTACGCCTCTCTATGAAGCCATCGAAGGGGATGACGTGAAAGGTTTTAACGATGACGTGCTACTCCAGATGGTTCACTTTCTCCTGAACAGGCCAACAGAGGGCGGGTCGCCGCTGCTGGAGCGCTAAGAAGAAGCCTTTGACTTGGGACCGCGGGAACGCTTAACTCCTACTGGAGCACAATAAAAATACACCTTACGTTAACCTGTGGTTAGACCTTTCATCCAAAATGTATGCTGGCAAACTTAATTTGAGTTCTAGTGTGTTGATTTTAAAGCAGTTTTATTTGTGCGTGACTAGCTGATGAGATTGATTGAGCTTTGTTCAGTACCTGGTATTGCAAGTGATTTTAAAGGTGACTTGAGGGCACTAATTCAAATGGCGTGTGACTATATACATGTTGTGTTAATATTTTTCCTTTTTAAAATGTCTTTGTTAACCTGACAATAGAATTTTCAGAGTCCTATTTAAACTCCTTAAAAAATAAACAATATTTTGCAGATGTAGGAAACTCAGTCCCAGAGGAGTTGTGACTTTCTAAAATTAACAGATGATTAATTAATAGTGTACCTGATGAATCATACACAACTTAGGTTCTTAGCACTTAGAAGCAATGTTAACATACTTCAGGTGGTATTATTTGCTCTCTTCCAAAGATTAGGGAGCTGGGTTTGCTATCTTTCCAAATCGGTTGTTAGTTGGTAAAGTCATTCATCTTACTGAGAATTAAGATTAATTCAAAACATTTTTAGTGAGCCAAAAGAATTACCTTTGTATAACCACATACTTCTTATTTTATACAATGCAGATGTTGTAAACATTTAAAATAAGCCGTTACGGTAGTCATATGACAAATAATGACTTTTCCCTTCCCTCCGTTTCTTACTCCTTCCCGCGCTCTCTTTCAAGACAGAGGGCGCAGTTATATTGACAGATGCCTCAGCCAGAAGCCAGGGGACGACTGGTCACAAATGGCAGCTAAACTGAAGGAACAGCATTTGGAAGTCCTGACTTTGCAGGGTGCCGTGTTCCACCTTTGTCCCGCTGCTTCCTACTCAGGGCGCCCAGTGCCGTCACTTCATTCTGTCACTGAAGCTGTTTCCAGAGCGCGGGCACTGTTCTCCGCCCTGGTTCTGGGCTCCAGCCTCTCTGTGCATTCCCTTTGTCCTCGACAGAAGGCTGATGTCTAGAGCACCCCCTACCAGGGCCCAAGTGAAAAGTATCTCCCAGTCTTGGCTTTCACTTGACTTCCTGAACTTGGAGCAATTGGAGTTACCATTCTTTTCTTTTTCTTTTTTTTTTTTAAGATTTTAATTATTTATTTTTAGAGAGGGAAGGGAGGGAGAAAGAGAGAGAGAGAAACATCAATGTGAGGTTGCTGGGGGTCATGGCCTGCAACCCAGGCATGTGCCCTGACTGAGAATCGAACCTGCAACGCTTTGGTTCGGAGCCCATGCTCAATCCACTGAGCTACACCAGCCAGGGGAGTTACCATTCTTGATTTTGGTTTTCATAAAACAAAATAATCTCATACAGTTGCAAGGATTAAATGAGTTAGTACATGTGAAAGTGCTTTTAAAACGCTGTGTAATTAAAATATTTAGGATTCAGTTCAAAAGCCATTGCTATCCCTAAGGTGATTATATTTAACTCATCAAGTAAAGATGGGAATCTAAAGTGGACCATAAAGAAAATGAAAATATTTCTAAGACGTCTCCCCACAAGGGCCCAGAGCACAGTTTATCCGTGCATTGTTCAAAATTTCCATGAAACAAACCTAAAGTTTGGAATGCTACTCAAATCATTTGATAAGCTTGTTCCAATTTTTTTAAATAACTAAAAAACATACAGGTTAAATGCACATTTCACTATAAATGGAGAAATCCCAAATAAAAAGCTAATACACTAAATCCAACAGTAATAAAAAGAATCCATCCTAATAGGCTAGAGTTAATCATAGAAATTCAGTAATGGCTCCGTGTTTTATACCTTTGTACATTAGTCTGAGATCTAATGTGTAGGTTGTCATTTTGACCTTTTTTCTAAAAGAAATTGCCACTTGATTTAAAATGCAAGTGTAACATTCTTTAGAAATGAATTGATGGGAAACCCAAATTAATAAGTGGAAACAGGATCTCATTTTTTCTTAACCTTTTTAGTTTTTGGACAAAAGAAATGAAGTTTTACCTCAGTGCTTATTTGGCGATATATAGATTTAACAGCAAAAACTCAGATATCAACCACTTTAGAAAAACTGAAGATGGAAGAAAGTAACCATCCTTTCTTTCATTCATCTGTGTGATGATTATAAATTTGGTGCTTTACTATTTTAATTCAGACATGCATCCTCACACTATTTTTATGAAAATTGTGTTCAAGTAAGGTACTCACAAATTTAGCATCTTTTAGCTGTGCTACGCATGTATAACATGGGAATCACCATGCTCACCGTGCTGTGACCTTACCACCTGATTCACATCCTAGAGATAACGTAATGCAGCAATATGTATCTCGAAGAGCTTTCTTTACAAACGAGCAAGCTGTACCTTTCCATCACCATTTTAAATCTAGGTTTGAATGACTCAAAACCATCGTGATCTTAGGAAAAGGAGGGCTTGCGCGCTGTTAGCTACTTGGAGAGTGTTTCTGCGTGTCTTCAGCCCAGGTAAAACCTGACTTTTATCTGTGAACCGAAAGCGCGCTGTGAGCTCTGGGTCAGCATCTGAGGCCTCAGGCTCGCCCTTCTGCAGAGCGGGCTCCTGGCGAAACTGGGCAGGGGGGGGGGGGGGTTGGGGGGGGTGGGGGGTGTAGGGCGCGGTAATCCGGTGGAGCCGGGAGCCTGTCTCAGCCTTGCCTCTTGACCGCGCACAGGGTGGGGTTTTGTTCTAATTGTCAACGTTAAAAGAGAGGGGTTATAAAGCATCCACATTTCAGATTCTTCTGAAAGATTGTGAGATCTGGTGACCCCAGGTTTACATTTTTGCATGTGAAGACTAGACGGGAGCCGGAAATAGTGCAGGGTGCCTTTGTGGGGTCCCCAACCTCCCCCTGGTGGACGGTCCATCGGTACTGGTCTGGGCCGGTCAGGCACCGGGCCGCACAGCAGGAGGTGAGCTTGGAGGTAGTGCTCTTGAATCATCCCGAAACCTTCCCCTCTAACCCCACCCCACCCGGCCTGTGGAACACTCGTCGTGCACAAAACTGGTCCCCAGCGCCAGAGAGGTTGGGGACCACCGCTCCAAGGGAAACACACTCCCTGTGGTGTGTCCCAGTCCTCCCGCCTCTTAGTTCCCCTTGGCGGACGTCAGCGGGCGTCCCTCGCTAACTTCCCATGAATGTTCGTTTCTGAGGCTCTGAGTGTATGACCCCGGAGATCCAGGGAGCTATTAAGAACTGGTTTTATTGGAGATAAAACCCAATCTTTACAATTACTTTTTAGGCCTTAGAAATCTCAATTTTCCAATGCCAAGCATTATAGTAATAAGTTCAGAAGAATTCAGTTTCATTTGGGATAATTAAATGCAGTGAGACGTGGTTTTTGAGTGAGAGGGTGACACGTGAAGTTATCTGGCAAAGCACGTGGACTCCTTGTCCTTCTGTGTCGTCTGAAGGGCAGAGTGAACCCTGACTTTCGTTTTGAGAGTTCGATGATGAGGTTGGGAGAAATTGTGTCCATTTTTATGGAACCGAAGTTGGCACCCAGAGACAGTTTGGACGCTGTACTAGGTATTTAGTTTCCCTTTCCACCCGCAGTGAGGTGGGCTCCAGCGCCACACTCCCCAGCGGTGGAGGGAGGGCTGAGGTGCTCAGACAGACGGGGTTGAGAGCCCCCATCCGACCAGAGAAGGGCCCAAAGGGAGGCTCAAAAGCAGACTGGCCAGAAGCTGCAAGGGAACTTGTTAAAAACAAACAAACAAACAAACACATCTTTTGATTTTTGCTTCCCTGTACGGTTAACTAGATTATTTGGAACCATGAACCTGAAGATGTTAGAGAGCTCACAGAAGGGGACTGATTGGCAGACTGACATCTGGAAGGACACACTTCCAGAAAGGGGCGCCTTTATTGGGCCCACTGTTGCTCTGAAGGGGGGATTTGGTCCCTAAGCAGAGGCTCTGACAGGAGGAGCAGCATTTGACAGCTTTGTGAGAGCAGGAGGGCAGAAGTTAGGAGACCCCCCGGGCGGGGGCCCTGGCAGAATCACTTAGTTTGAGACCCTGCAGGGCAGGACCACACCTTTGGGGTAAGGGTGAACCGGAAGCAAACCACTCACGTAGAAGGGAGCTTAGGATGGGGTCTCCTGGATAGCTCAGAAAAATCTGAAATGTTAAACGTGGATTAACTAATGCACTAGGAACCTGAAAGATGCACATCTGGAGAAAGAATATTTTCTGGACCTCAATTATTTCTACAGTTTTTTATTTGGAAGATTTTATGTATTTTCAGAGAGGGGAAGGGAGGGAGAAAGGGGGAGAGAAACAGCAGTGGGCTGCCTGTCGCATGCCCAGGCACTGGGACCTGGCCTGGAACCCAGGCATGTGCCCTGACTGGGAATTGAACCAGTGACCTTTCAGTTCACAGGCCAGTGCTCAATCCATTGAGCCACACCAGCCAGGGCCAAACAGTTTTTCTGATACAATATCCCCATATAATAACTGAGCACAGGAGGAGAAAGAGCGAGAATGAAAACCAGCAGAAATGAGAGACAATAGGACGCCCCCCAAAGGGTCACGGAATATCTGGACCGTGAGACAGACTTTAATGTTTTCATTGTTCCAGGAGATGGCACGTTGAAAATTTCATTATAGTATTGGAAACTAAAAGATGTACCTGCAGGTTTTAAAGACACCAATAAAAATTTGAGAACCAGAAGTATAAATAAAATTAAGAACTCGAAACCCTGTTTCAGGGATGAATGGGAGAAAGGCGAAAGAGAAAAGAACCTCCAATTGAAAAACAAAACAACCAGAAACACTGTATTCATGATCTATTCTGCATAACCTAACTGCAAACTTCAGTTTCATTTTAAACAACACACTCGCTGTTCCAGCTTCTGTGTTAGGAGCCCTGGCGTGGTCTAACCGGGTCCCCTGCTACTCAGTCCCTCGCAAAGCTGCCAAGTATTGGGCAGGGGTGGGGTCTCATAGGAAGGTCTAGCCAAGGAGGCATCTGCTTCCAGTGAGTGCCCTTGCCGGCAGGTTGTAGCGCTTGGGGCCTTGGTTCCTCACGGGCTGTTGGTGGAAGGCATCATTCAGTCCCTCCTCACTTGGGCTACTGCAGGCGAGCAGCTTAACGACAAGGCAGCCTGCCAGGGAGAGTTGCTCAGGAGACTGACTGCCCATGCAAAGCCCAGTGACCACGCCCAGCCCCTACCAAGCAGAGGAGATCGCGCAAGGGCGGGCTGGGAGGAGATGTGGGTCACTCGGGGTCATCTTAGAGTGCCCGCCCAAAGGGGAGAAAGACACTAGAGAGAGAATGAGCGAACCGAACAGGTAGTGACGTTTCCATAAT